TCTTTCAATTTGGTCAGCTTTTCCTTTGTATATATTGCTGCTCTGTTAGTATGTATGTAAATGCTTATAATTGTATTTTCTTGCCGTATTGAAACTTTTATTAACATGTCATGTCCTCCTTTGTCTCTTGTAACCTTTTTTGATTTAGGTCTATTTTGTCTGATACTAGTACAGTCACCTATCGGCTACGACTTGCATGAAGTGCCTTTCTCCATCCCTTCACTTTCAGTTGTTTCTGGACCTCAAGTGAGTCTCTTGCAGACAACACGTAGCTGGATCATGTTTTTATCTATCCTGTCAATCTCAGTCTTTTGAAGTAATTGTGTTGATTTCTGTATTCCATATAGCTTCACTGTCCCTCATTACCTGCATCACTGTGGCCTTTTGTGTGATTTGATCTTTTATGGTTAAATGCTTAAATTCTTTTCTCATTTACTTCTTTATATATTCTATGTTCTTAGTGGTTACCATGGGGATTACATTTAATATCCTAAAGTTATAAAACTGTAATTTCAATTTATACCAGCTTAACTTTACAAAAATACAAAAGCTTCGTTCCTTTACAGCTCCATCATTACCCGTCAGTTGTTGATGGCACAAAACTACATCTTTATACAGTGTAGTGCCCTAAAAGATAAATAATTCTTTTAAGTGCATGTCTTTTAAGTTGCATAGAAAATAGTTTGGAGTTACAAACCAGTTATACCACCATACTAGCTTTTAGATGAACAATTGTCTCTTAAATGTATTATTCTCTTAAATCATGTAGAAAACAAAAAGTTATTTTCTGTTAAAATACTAGCTTTTGTAATTTCCCACGTACTTACCTTTATTGAGATAGTTTTCTCTTTATGGCTATGAGTTACTGTCTAGTGTCCTTTCACCCTGCAGGACTCCTGTGAGCATTTCTTACAGGGCAGGTCCAGAGGTAACAAACCTCAACGTATATGAGAATGTCTTAATTCTTCCCTTTTTTTTTTTATATATGTCTTTATTGATTTGAGAGAGAGGGAGGGAGAGGGAGAGAGAGAAACACCAATGGTGAGTCACTGACTGGCCACCTCCTGCACACCCCCCGGAATCCAACCTCCACCTCCCGGATCCTAGGTCGATGCTCAACCCCTGGGCCACACTGGCCGCGCTTCCCTCACTTTTGAAGGGCAGTTTTTCCCTTTTTGTACTTTCAATGCATCAACCCACTACTTTCTGGCCTCTAAGGTTTCTGAGGAGAAATGATCATCTTACCTACAAAACAAACAAAAAAAACCCGTATGCTGCCTTCACGGTTCTGTGTCTTTCAACTTTGTGTCTCAGAGCGAATCTCAGTTGATTATTTTACCAAAGCGTTTGTTGAGCCTCATGTCTTTCATTGACTTTGGGAAGTTTTCAGCCACTATTTCTTCAAATATCCTGCCTGCCCCTTTCTTGTGAGATTCCAACAGCATGAGTGTTGGTCTTCGCGGTGTCCCAGGGGCCACTCAGGCTCCACTGGCTTTTCAATTGCTGTCCTTCAGAATGGGTAACAGCCATTGCCCTAGCTCTAAGTCCACTGACTTTTTCCCTTCTGCCTTTGATTTCCTCTAGTGAAATTTTTGTTATTGTACCTTTTAGTTCCAGAGTTTTTTCTGTTTGGGTGGTCTTCTAACACTTGATATTCCCATTTGCTTCAGACAGACATTTTCTTCTTTACTTTCTCCACATTTTCCTTCTGTTCTTCATCATGAAGACGGGTGTGGATCCTGTTTGTTGATGTTTCTTTGATGGGCCAACTTCTGTTACATTGTACACCTTGTGAGTTTTTTATGTTGTTGTACACTGGACACCTGAATCTAATGTGTAACTCCGGAAATCAGATTCTCCCATTTCCCCAGGGCAGGTGGGTTTTATTACTATTATTTTAATAGGCTGTGTCTGCGCCAAAGGTCAGCCTGAGGTATAAACTGAAGGTCTTCTGGGGCCTTTTCCAGGCCTTTGCCTTTCCCTGGGCATGCGTGGTCAGTCTCTAATTTTCCTCATACAGGTATATGCAGTTGCTTCTGAATGTCTTCAATGCCTGGTTCCCGAGTGAAAATGAGAAAAATTAAGGGGCAGGGAGTAGGGCACCATGTCTTTAAAAATCTCCCGGAAGTCACTAGCCTGAGAAGAGGCTTGCAATACTGGGGAGAGGTGAAAGAATGGCTTCCCTCCTCTTTACACTGTTATCAGCCGCAGCGTTCTGTCAGCAGAAGGGTCTTTATGGCCCACACTAGTTCCTGAAAGCTGTGTGCATGTTGCTCCATCCACCCACCCAATGCACCTAGTCATTTACCCACCCACAGATCTATCCGCCCATGACCCATCCAGTCGCTCAGTGATTTCCTTTGCACCTCAGTGTTCAAGCCCAGTTCTGGGAACTTGGGGTACAGATAGATTTGTCCCTGCCCTTGCAGATGTCTATGGGGCAGAAAGAAATGGAAACTTCTGAGCACTCCGCTGTTGCCTGGACAGACACGGCCCCCAAATCAGGGCTTCCAGCTCTATCCTCATATTCAGCTGCCTCCTGGATATGCACACCGAAGGTCCCAAAGGTGAATCTTTTTCCCTTTGTGCAACTTGTCCCTCTCCTGATGTCCTGTGTTGTGTAGCCTGGTCACCACAGCCTGCTTAAGTTCCCTTCACACAAAACGCTCCTCTTTGAGTCTGTCTGGCTCTACCATTTGGGGCTCCCCAGGGCCCAGAGATTTTCTAACTCAGTGACTCCACAATGCACCCCCTAGAAAACCCTTCCTGACAGCCTTTCCCTCTAACTGAACAAAACGGCACGACCACCTCTGACACTCCCAAAGGCAAACCGCGCCTCCCCTACCAGGTTGTAAGACCCCAGTGGGTGTGCTATTGGACCATAAACCAGCGCAATCCCTCCTTCTCTGGGCTACCTAATCTCCATGCCAACACCCCACTGGATGTTTTGGAAGCACCCCTTCCCTGTGCATTATGACTGCTGGGACCAGACTCAGTCCAGCCGTATCAACTGGCCTTACACCCATCAGCCCTTCTCACTGTGGGCTGGGAAGTGAATGACTCCAGCACCAGTTCACTGCCCCATTGTGGTGGCACATTCTCTGCCCTTCGGCCCTGTACTTCCAGAGGAACTCTGACTAGCTGCCCCAGTGAAGCATTACCTTTACTGATTGCAGCATTAGGATCCAATCAAAACTGTTTCACACAGGATTCCCATTCCCATTAGGCAGGCATGGGGAGATGCTCTTCCAGTGTTACAGAGACACCCTGGCCAGAACCCAGTTCGGATCCCAAAGCCTGAGTATCTCCCTTCAAGAGAGCTCGCTGAATGGACAAACAGCAGGCACCAGGGCAACACAGACGCTGCATGCTATCTGCTTTGAGATCTCAACACCGTACCCCCTGGTCTAGGTTCTGGGGAAAAGAACTTCTAGTGGTTGTTACTCATTTCCACACCCTGGCACACAGGAATGGTTCCATTTCCTGGCTGTAAGCAAGCAGACACAGGGTTCCTAGAGACTTCTTTGTTGGGCCATAGGCTAAGCCTGGAATATAGAGCCCTACTGCAGATGAACATAAAGCACAAGCTCCCAACTTCCTGTGGACAGCAGCTCCCAGGGCCAGACTCAAGGCTTTACACAAGCCTGGCACAGACCTCTGGCAAATCAACTGTCCACATCACTCCACTTATGAACTGCCACTCAAGTCAAGGTGTGGGCAGTACTGGGGACAGAGAAGACTGTCCCCTGAGGAAAAACAGCACACACTACAGGATAGTGTGTGCTATCCTAAGGGCAGACAGAAGTGCAGTCCTGTTCCTGGTACTGAGCACACTGCTTTCAAGTGGTCAAATGAGCCGGAATTTGAACAAAGTGACAGTGCAGACTGGGCTAACTCTGCATTTTTTGGATTATGGTTGAATTTTGGCAGGTAGAGCTACAGCAATTATTTACGAAGAGTTCACTAGCTAAGGACTGTTTGCAGAGCTGTGCAGGAATTTACAATCTCACTTGTTGCCCTGGCCAGTGTGAGCTGCTTGGTTTGAGCATCACCATGTACACCAAAGGTCCTGGGTTCAATCCCCAGTTGGCAATTGATCGATGTCCCCCCCCCATTCAATAAAAACACCTCCTCCTCAGGTGAGGATTTAAAAAAAACAAAGGAGAAAAAAAAAAAAAACTTAATAAAATATATCATCTCACTTGTGGTTTGGTTATTTTGTTCCAAGTAGATTCCAGAATAACCTTCTAGATTGTCCACTTTCCTGGGGAAAGAGAGCTTTCGTTTTGAAGTTACCTCCAAGCCACAGGCTTTTACTCAGCGCATGGGGAGGGATCCCTACATACCCACCCCAAAGTAGGAAGCACTGAACACTGATTTAGAGAATACCCCTCACCCCCCAAACCTTTAGGACCTAAACTGGTACCTTTTAAGTTCACCTGCTTCAGAAAAGCCTTTCTTAGAAAGCAATCCCCGGGCTTATCCCCAGTTGGGGGCATGCAGGAGGCAGCTCAGTGACAACTCTCATCACTGATGTTTCTCTTTCTCTCTCTGAAAACACACACATTAAAATAATAAAGCAATCTTCCCTACTTCCCTCTTTCTCAACTAAAGATACATACTGTGTTATGTAACTTCAGGCACACTTTGTTTTTACTGGGCTTCACAGACACTTTATTTTTTACAAATCAAAGGTTAAGACCCTTCACCAGCAAAATGATTACAACTCACTTTATTGGGGTGGTCTGGAACCAATCCTGCAAACCTCTCTGAGGTATCCCTCCATATAACTTGACGTCTGCATGACCTAGTTAAGTGCCCATAAGGATTTCATGAAATCAGATTAAGGCAGACCTTTTCAGTTTAAAACCAACTCAAGTTGCAGAACAGGAACACAAGACCTAAGGAAAGCCACGGACCCAAGGTAATAAGCAACATGTTTTGAGAGTCGGGCTGGTAACTGCAAAAGGCAAAGTCCAACACAAATCCAAAGCAGCAGCTACAAAACAGGGCAGATTTTAATACTTCACTATCGTATGAAAATGTAGGTTAATTTTAACATTAAAGCAGAGACAAAATATAATTTTAACATTGTTTTAATCAAGTAATGTAGCTGTTTAAAACAAGAAATCTTAAGACAGTTGAATAGAGCAAACTGAAGGATTACTCTATTAGGATACCTCTGTACGTGGATTTGAGTCTACTGGAAGTTTGGCACCAGACTGAACACCGGTCTAAGCCAAAATTTTCTCTTTAGTGTTTAGAAGCCCTAAACGTGGCTTCCTTCAGATTAAAAGGAAAAACTAAAAAAACCCACCTCTATAACAGAACCTTATTAGCTTGACACTGGGTATGCTGAATGCCCATCAATATCGCACAGGATTTCAGATAATGAAATTAAACTGGCCAATAGCAAAGAAATTCGAAACCTAGGTGAGATGTGAGTTTGCAAAAACCTCCTCTCTTTGGTGTGACAAAGCACATTCCCTCCTGGTACACTGCTTCTGCTTCACTCTCATCAAAATCTATCAAAAGGCAGCTGGAGACCAATTCATCTCTCTCCAGCAAAATCACTAGATCTTAATTTCTTAAAGTATCAAGCTAACAAGGTTTTATTATATCAAATGTTTGTATAATTTCAATGTGAAAAATGTTTACATACATTTGTTAAGGTCTCATTATAATGAGATGGATCAAAGAAAATCAGAGGTGAATGAAAACCCGTGCTCCAAATAAAACCAACCCCATGATTCTTGATTCCCATAGTGCACTTTTTATGGAAAGCAATAAATTCAACAAGTTTCTACTTTGAAAACAATTTCTCAAATATAGTCAGAACCCGTAAGAGTGAGTTTAGATCAGCTACTTGGGCAAAGAATTCACAGGAAGTTATTTCCAAACCTAAAGACCAAGAAGGGTTGGGCCAGGCCCTAGTCACCTGTATTCAGTGGCCATCACCAGACTTCATGAGTGTCTAACTATATTCAATGTGAAATAAAAGACACCCAAGTCTCCTGCCAAAACATAGGCTGACTTAGAAGCACAATTTTAGTTTTCTTTTTATAAATAAGACATTTTGAAAAAAAGAAAAGAAAAAAAATCAAGCTTGAGACACAGCAGCACTAATTTTGGCAAGATAACCACCAAAACCTGTGTGTCCAAATGTAAAAGGCATTAAAGAACAAGCCATGGCATCAGGGAAAATCCACACTAAACAAAAGATACAGGATGTCTAAACATTTTGAAATTTTAATTTAAACCGTCTTTCAGAGTAAAAGCTGAAAAATTATGCTGGTTTTTTTTGCTAGAGATTAAGTGCACCTTTTCCTTCCCCCAAATAAAATCATGGAACTTTTTCATCACACCCCAAAACTTGAGAGTTTTCTCTCAGCACAAAGCAACAGCTACATACACATAAAATGCTTATTTGTTAATGTAATAATTCCCCTGGCTCATCCAACTTGCAATTCACGTGACTTCAAAGACTACGATTTGGGGGAAGTGTTAAGCGAGCTGGGAAAAAAAATTCAAGTTTCAAAAACTGCTTTTAAAATTACTTATAGGACACTCAGGTCATTTTTACTCTTAGTAAGATAAGGTGTTATACTGTCCGCCTTGGCATGGTAAGAATGTACGTCACCAGATGCCAACTTGAGGGACTAGAGATAAGACTTAAAAAGTACTGTATTTCTTAATGGCTGAGTAAGGTAATTACAAATAGGTTTATGCTTACATTCTGCTTAAGACCTCTTTACAGTCTCAGCACCTAACAGTGTCTAACAGGCTCCAAGAATCCTATCTGGTTAAAAGATGGTATAATGTTTTAAAAAGGAGCCAATTGTTTCAGCTTAAGTCATTCAGAGCCAAAAAATTTAAGAATGACCAAAATCAAATCTTTATTTTTATAACTGTATAAATGTGATCCAAATGTGTCCACCACTAATTTTTCAAAAAGAAACATGCTATAAATAAGCAAACTACATCTGCTCACTGATATGTGTATGGACTCCCGAGGTGTCTTGTTGGGCTTAATTACAGACCACTCACAGCAATGTTTTTAGCAGAAAGTGTAGCATGATGTTAAGCCATTTTAGCTTTTGCACACGCATGTTGCACTTCTGGCTGATGATGCAGAAGGATTCTTAGCATCACAGTTAAGCTGGGCCGCACCCGTCCCTTTAAATGGCATCAATGTCAATGTCGTCGTCCTTGCTGTCCGACTTCACAGCTTCCACTTTCGGCACACTGGCCGTCTTCGAATACACCACCTGATAAAACATTTTTTAATTGAGTGTAAGTGGTAAATTAAAGTAAATAGAGGAGAAAGTTACCTAGATGCAGCTGCCGTCCTCCATGTACGTCCCACCACCCAGTAAGCTCTCCCCCACACTAAGAGTATTCCGTGAATTTTTACAGACCACTAGCAGCTCTGAGCAACCCGCACTATTCAAACCTCAGACATTTGGAAATCATGTCTGGAGACACGAGAGATTTCCACCACCCTTCGTGTTAAGGGTTATTTTCCACACTGCTGAGAGACTGCGCCTGCCTGCCTCCCTCCCTCCCGCCTCGCCCAGCGCCAGCTGGCCCCCCCCACACTTACCTCGATGTTCTCATCCTCATCATCCTCTTCACCCCCAGAAGATTCCTCCTCTGCTTCCTTCAACCACTTTATAAATGGTTCTGCTTTCACACGAATCTCTTTGGCAAGTTCTTTTGAGACATATTTCTTTGAGGCCTAAAAAACATCAGGTACAATTGTCTCATAGGAATTTAAAACAAGTTATTGCCCGGCAGGGCGTGGCTCAAAAGCTGAGCATCGACCTAGGATCCAGGAGGTCAGGGCACAGGCCCGGGCTTCGGCCTTGATTCCCAGCAGGGGGCGTGCAGGAGGCAGCCGATCAATGACTCATCATTGATGTTTCTATCTACCCCCCCACCCCCCTCGAAATCAGTAAAAATATTAAAAAATTAAAAAACAACAACACAAAAACGAGTTATACAGTTGCTCAAACTGAGATCTTTGAGGATACTGGGCCACACCGTACTCTTTAATCCTCAACAGAACACATGCATGCCACAAAAATTAGTCTAAATTGAGTAGTTTCTTGTCATTACTAACAAGCTGCTATGGTGGGGAAGCCCCTACAAGTTACATCAGTCAAACAGAGGAACTGCGTTTTCATGTAGAGAAAGACCAGGGATTAGAGGGTACACAAACAGCCTGTTTGCATATTCCCACCTTTTCCGACCAGCTGATGATGACCTCTTCCTCTAAAAGGTCTGCGTCATACATCTCCTTCAAGATATGTGGAATCTTGGAGATGAGCTGAGCTTGATGCATCGCTACCACACACTCGAAACCATGAAGGAGGTAACGTTGAGCTTTTTTGTTGTTGTGACAAAACTGCAAATAGATTATCTTTGTATTAACAAGCTTTTACAGATTTATTCTAAGTTGATAACTCTAATATTCAATGACTCATCATTGGTGTTTCTCTCTCCCCCTTCTCCCTTCTTCTCTCTGAAATCAATATATATTTAAAAACAAACAACCCAGAGAAGGTCAACACATGAAGAGCTCTGCATTACTTTATCTGTAAGAGAACACATGCAGTTTTCAGATAGTCCCACACTTTCAAATGTCCATTATCTCCATTTTCAGGATGACAGAGAACAAGCAGGCAAGAGGTTAACGTGATGTCCTCCAAGGCCACACAGCTTTAATAATTTCATTTACGAATCTCAAATTTGCTTACTCGTAGGAAATGGCGCCTGTATTTTTTAATCTGTTCTCTAATCTTCTCATTAAAAAGAACTTCAGTCAAAACAAGAGGGCCCATAGCTTTTACGTCCAGTCTTTCTGCTTCGGCAACAATTTCTTTGTCTGATGAGTCGATAATACCCTCTTCCTTCTTTTTCTGCAAATACAAGGAAACAATTCAATAAAATGGAGGCACATAATGCTCCAGAGATATAGGTTAGTCCCGACTCTCATGGATGGCTCTCCTAATTTGACAGATTTTATGATAAACAGCCACCAAAGATAGTGCCTGGGATCAAACTCAAAAAAATATTTGCACCCTAGCCAGTTTGTCTCAGTGGTTAGAACGTCAGCCCACTAACTGAAGGGTCCTGGGTTTGATTCCAGCCAAGAGCACGTACCTCAGTTGCAGGCTCAATCCCAGGCCCTGGTGGGCCTGTCAGCAGGGAGGCAACCAATCAATGTTTATCTCTCAATGTCTCTCTCTCTCCCCCTTACACTCTCTCTGAAAAGCAAAGGAAAAAATATCCTCAAGTGAGGATTAAAAAAAATAAATACTTGAGTGAACACACAGAAAAAGTAAGAGCAAGCCTTGCATTTCAATATTCAAAAGATAGCACTGAAGTTCCTTGCCAAGTACCAGCTTAAAGTAATAAATATCTAACAAAAGCCTGAGGCCAGGCTGAAACTAGCTCTACAGGTCAAGAAAATGTCTCACCTCTCATAAAGCAAATAATTTTACCTTAACAAAATCAAACAGGATGTTGACCCGTTCTTCGACAGTCCGTTCCAAATCATCACTGAGCGTCAGGACTTTCGCATGGTCACTGATTTCATCCATCCTGCGCCGCTGAGCCTCCTCGGTTGTATCCTCCCCCCAGTCGTCATCTTCCTCTTCCTGTTTCAAGAGCAAAGACATTTCACCAACAGCCTTAAAGATGTACAATGTTTCAGATTTCCAGTCAGGTTAATGACATCTAAGTTCATTTTCCACTAAATTGGGTTCACCTCAATTCAATCAACTCCACCTGGAACCCAAAACCCTGCTGCTGTTCACAGCATTTCTGTTCACAACAACAGGCCCCGTTCTAAACAACCTTTGGCACCTGCTGCACCAGCCCCGCACTCACCACAGCGTGCGGAGGGCTGACTTCATGTGGCGGCGGCGGAGGTGGGGTCTCACTGCTGGACACAGAGCCGTTCTCCTTGTCCTTGCCCTTCCTGTTTTTCTTTTCCTTCTCTTTCTTTCCTGTGCCACTGTCACTGTTCTCTATCGGGCAACAAAAGGAAAGCTGAGTGCCACAACTGACTACACCTCACTGCCTGTCATCAGCATTTAAAACTCTACTTGTTTGCTCCTGAACCCTCCTCTCAGAAAACCAAGCACAGTGCTACCTAAAATTTTAAGAGGATTCAGACCAAATTCATTCACTGTATTTCATAGAAGAAACTTGGGTTAAGGACGGAATGTTCCAAAATACTAGTGGTACTATTGGGTAAAATTAAGACGAAGTGATGACTCAGAGGACCCAGCATTCATGACCCTCTTCCATCATTCATGAACTTGAACAAGGGCACAGCTCAAATGCACTTTAGCCAACAGCTGGAACACTGTCTAAGTCTATATAACGGCTTGTCCCATGGAGGAGAGAGCACCGGAATAGGTTAGACTCTGTTGCTATAGCAAGCTCAAATTGTGTCAGACAGCTTTGATCATCTGACACAGAGTGTTGCTTGCAATGCTCTAAAGCCACTTAGGCCCTCCATTCTCCTTATATTCATTTTATAGCAACAAGGAAACATCCATTTTGTTTCCAAGAATCAGGTGCTTTATGGTTAAGATCTTAGAAGTTCATCATGAAGACTTACCAGGTGGGTTTTTGAGAATGAATGTGCAGAGTTTATGATGTGTGTCAAGCATGCCTCGATAACCACAGGCTTTACAAGAATTACCTATTGTTTGCTTCTTTGGATTGACATGCTGCCAAAAAAGTAAAAACAAGTATGTCATCCATAATATATGATGAAAATTCTGTGAGGAACAAGAATGAAAATATCTAACCAACAGAAGATGTCTGAAACACCAGCTTAACACATACCAAATAACGGGATCTACCTCAGAAAAAGTATGTGAGCATCTTCATAATTTATAGGTTTTGCATTATACTTCCAATTACATCTGCTCTGCCTTGTTAAAACATCATTTGGTGCTACAAGACTGATCCCAAAAGCAGGTACCCAGCTGCTGCTTCTGACAAACACCCCAAAGGCACTCACCAGCTCCGTTTCGGGGTTCTCACACTCAGGACAAAGAACGAACTTCTTAATGAACCCGTCCAACATGTCTTGCAGCTTATTTGCCTCATGAGATCCGTTGACAATGTAACGGTCATTCTTAACATCAAACTGGGTCTGTGCTCCCAGCTCGCAACCAAAATATTTGGTGGGATCTGTTTGGAAAAAAGAGTTTGACTACAGTTAACTAAATTAACTGTCAGCTACTCAGCCACATTTACAAAATTGTCACTGCCTGTGTTTTTAAATTATTGAGTGAAGAACTATGTTGCCCGCATAGTTTTCTGTACCAATGGCAATAATCAGTTGGCTTTAGGTTCAGCGCCCCACTTAACCCTTAGGCCAATTAGCGGGCTGCCCAGGCAAGACCCCCAGACCACTGGCGGTGCCTGTCAACACCAAGCCTCTCAGGCTCCCCCAAGGGGCATTACTTACACGTTGGAGGCCGATTAAGCGCCTTTGCAACGTCAACCATGTTGACTATAACTGTCTTGATTCCATTTCCTTTGCCCTCAACCTAAAGGAAATAAGAATTTAATTTTGCACTGTCTACCCAGGAGACGCAGTCTTTTAATAATCTACGAAGAGCGCTTTAAGACTTGCTACTAAAATGAAGAAAAGTTACCACCTTGGCAATCAGACGGGGCATCTTGTAGCGATAGAACTGGTCTGACACGCTGCGGTTGACGTTGACAGACATTTTGGCTTATTAGTGGCTTTATCGATAAGATGAAGAGATCTTTGATTGCAACTTTTTGGTATCTTCTGTCTGGAGAAGAAGGGATGACATAAACGGCTGCAAGAGTTCTCGGTCTCTGACATGAAAAAGTTTTCGCCACTGAGGCTGTGAGCTCCTTGCTTGTACGCTATGTTGCCCCAATACAGGTACCAATGGCTGCGCAACAGCTCTGCAGGGGAAGCAAACACACGGGCGCCCACGTTTAACATCCCCCCTGCGCGGGGCGCCCCCCGAGCGCTCGCCTTCGCCGGGCCTCCTTCCCCAACGTGAAAAAGCGCCCGTGTCATGTCACGTGGGAACGAGCTGCCCTAACACGGGGCACCTGTGGCGGCGGAGAGGCCTCCCCGCGGCCGAGACGGGCGGGCAGGCAAGGCCGGGCCCAAGGCGGCGAGCCTCA